CTCCATAGTATATATACCATATCTTCTTTATCCATTAATCTGTCGATGGACATTTGGGCTCTTTCCATACTTTGGCTATTGTTGATAGTGCTGCTATAAACATTGGGGTGCACGTGCCTCTTCGAAGTAGCACACCTGTATCCCTTGGATAAATACCTAATAGTGCAATTGCTGGGTCATAGGATAGTTCTATTTTTAATTTTTTTTATTTTTATTTTATTTTTATTTTTTTTTTTATTTTTTTAAAAAAATTTTTTTTTTCAACGTTTATTTATTTATTTCTTGGGACACAGAGAGACAGAGCATGAACGGGGGAGGGGCAGAGAGAGAGGGAGACACAGAATCGGAAACAGGCTCCAGGCTCTGAGCCATCAGCCCAGAGCCTGACGCGGGGCTCGAACTCCGGGACCGCGAGATCGTGACCTGGCTGAAGTCGGACGCTTAACCGACTGCGCCACCCAGGCGCCCCATATTTTTAATTTTTTGAGGAACTTCCATACTGTTTCCCAGAGTGGCTACACCCAGTTTGCATTCCCACCAGCAGTGCAAAAGAGATCCTCTTTCCCTGCATCCTTGCCAACGCTATCATTGCCTGAGTGGTTATTGTTAGCCATTCTGGCAGGTGTAAGGTGGTATCTCATTGTGGTTTTGGTTTGTATTTCCCTGATGATGAATGACATTGAGCATTTTTTCATGTGTCGGTTCGCCATCTGGATGTCTTCTTTGGAGAAGTATCTATTCAGGTCTTTTGCCTGTTTCTTCACTGGATTATTTGGGTTTTTTATTTGACTTTTTTTTTTGGCGTTGAGTTTGATAAGTTCTATATAGATTTTGGAAACTAACCATTTACCAGATATGTCATTTGCAAATATTTTCTCCCATTCTGTTGGTTGCCTTTTAGTTTTGCTGATTGTTTCCTTCGCTGTGCAGAAGATTTTTATTTTGATGAGGTCCCAATGGTTCATTTTTTGCTTTTGTTTCCCTTGCCTCTGGAGACATGTTGAGTAAAAAGTTGCTGTGGTTGGGGTCAAAAAGGTTTTTTCCTGCTTTCCCCTCTAGGATTTTGATGGCTTCCTGTCTTATGTTGTGTCTTTCATCCATTTTGAGTTTATTTTTGTGGATGGTGTAAGAAAGTGGTCCAGGTTCATTTTTCTGCATGTTGCCGTCCAGTTTTCCCAGCACTATTTACTGAAGAGACTGTCTTTATTCCATTGGATATTCTTTCCTGCTTTGTCAAAGATCAGTTGGCCATACATTTGTGGGTCCATTTCTGGGTTCTCTATCTGTTCCATTGGTCTGAGTGTCTGCTTTTGTGCCAGTACCATACTGTCTTGATGATTACAGCTTTGTAATACATCTTGAAGTCCAGGATTGTGATGCCTCCAGCTTTGGTTTTCTTTTTCAAGATTGCTTTGGCTATTTGGGGTCTTTTCTGGTTCCATATAAATTTTAGGATTGTTTATTCTAGTTCTGTGAAGAATGCTGGTATTATTTTGATAGGGATTGCTTCCTTTATTTTCTATAACCCAATTTCCCCTTCTTTCCTCTAGTCCGGAGAGACATTACCTTCTATCTCTTGAAGTATGTGAGTTTCCTAGAGCTGTTGTAATGAAGTACCTTGAACTGAGTGGCTTAAACAGTAGAAATCTATTGGCTCACAGTACTGGAGGACAAAAGTCCAAGATCCAGGTGTCATCAGAGTTGGCTCTTTCTGAGGGTTTCTGGTGGTTTGCTGGCAATCTTTGGCATTCCTGATCTCTGCTTTGTCTTCATGTGGTGTTCTCCCTGGATTCATCTTGGGGTTCAGATTTGCCCTCAGCTCTTTTCTCCAACACTTGCTTCTCCATCTGTGTCTGTAGCCTAATGAATTGTACCAGCCTCTGCCAAAGACAGAAAAATATTATCAATTGCATTTGTGAAGTGCCCAGCCATCAAATACTGGGGATTCTGCCACATCTCTGCCAGCTGTGTTCTCTATGCCACACCAGGGATAGTCATGATCTGCTTAGGAAGTTGCAAGGAATCCCAACAGTTTTCCTGCTTCCACTTTTATGGATTTCTACTCCTTCCTCCATGCCCTCCTTTCCAGACGCAGCTCTTGCTTTTTTTGATGTACAGTTCTTTTGTGTGTGTGTTTGTTGTGATAAAATATACACATAATATCTATCATCTTTACCGTTTTAAGTGTACAGTTCAGTGGCATTAAATATATTCACATGGGGCGCCTGGGCGGCTCAGTTGGTTGAGTGTCTGACTTCAGTTCAAGTCATGATCTCACAGTTCGTGGCTTTGAGCCCCACGTCGGGTGCTGTGCTGACAGCTCAGAGCCTGGAGCCTGCTTCGGATTCTGTATCTCCCTCTCTCTCTGCCCCTCCCCTGCTCTCTCTCTCTCAAAAATAAACATTAAAAAAAATATCCACATGGTTGTGCAGCCCTCACCACCGTCCACCTCCAGAATTCTTTCATCTTGTGAAACTGGAACTCTGTCTCTATTAAACTTATCTCCCTGTTCTCCTCCCCCCCCGTCCCAGCCCCTGGCACCCACCATTCTGCTTTCTGTCTCTATGATTGTGACTATTCTAAGTACCACATGTAAGTGGAATCATACAGTATTTGCCTTTTCGTGACTGGCTTATTTCATGCAGTGTAATGTCTTTGGGGTTCATCCATGTGTAACATAGTATAGCATTTCTTTCCTTTCCAAGGCCGGATAATTCCATTGTATATATATGCCACGTTTTGTTTATCCATTCATCTGTCAATGGACACTGGGTTCCTTCCACATTTTGTCTGTTGTGACTAATGCTACTGTGGACATGCTACTCTTTGAAACTCTGCTTTCAGTTCTTTTGGGTATATGCCCAGAACTGGAATCACTGAATCATATGGTAATTCAATTTTTGATTTTTTGAGGAATCACCAAACTGTTTTCCACAGTGATTGTGTCATTTGACATCTCCACCAACAGTGCACCAGGGTTCCACTTTTTCCACATCCTCATCAATGCTTGTTTTCTGTTTTTTTAGATAGTAGCCATCCTAATGGGTGTGAGGTGGTGTCTTGTGGCTTCGATTTGCATTTCCCTAATGATTGTGATGTTGAGCACCTTTTTATGTGCTACTGGTCAATTAAATATCTTTGGAGAAATGTCTATTCAAGTCCTCTGTTTTTCTGTTTTTGTTTTTGTTTTGAATTAGGTTGTTTGCTTCTTGTTGTTGAGTTGTAGGTGTTTTCTCTATATTCTAGATATTAATCCCTTTGAGACATATGATTTGCAAATATTTTGGGTTTTTGTGTGTGTGTGTGTGTGTCTCTCTCTCTTTCTCTCTCTCTCTCTCTTTTTTTTTTTTTTTTGCTGCAGCTTTGCTGGAACACGGGGCCCTTCCTAAGTGTGCTAGTTGGGTAATCCTAGCTGAGCGTGGGTGTGGGTGGGGGCTATGATGAAAATGCCACTGCCACAGCACCCCACCCTCCAGGTGTCCCTGGAGTGGACAGAGCTGACAGTGAAAGTTGGTGACTCAAGGGTGAGGTACAGCAATGGGGCCAACAGCCCTGGGGCCTTGTTTAGAAGACAGAATGTAGACTTGAGAAGGATGAAGACAGAACCACCTGCTGAAGCCTGAGAGAGAGGAAGAGCAGAGTGGAGGGAGGGAAGGGAGAAGAAGTGAGGAAGAAAGGAGGTAAGGCAGCCTGCTTGCTGGCTCTTCTGTCTTTGTGAGTAATGATAATTTTGCATTCTAAGGGAGGTTCCCTGTCACTCTCACTTGCTCTAACTGAGCTGAGAGTTTTCCTGAACTCCAGGGAGTGGGTGAGGTAGCAGCACTTACTTTGGACAACACTAAGATCTACCTTGAGTTGACTGGCAGGGGAGTGAGGAGCTTGTAGGAATGAGTGATTCAGTTCAGCCAGGGGTAAGGGGTAAGTCAAGAGTCCAGCTGAATGAAGTGGTCGTTCCTTCAACAAACTCAGTATGTGCTTTGCATCACTGAGGTAACACAAGGTGAGAAAGAGCACCTGATCAGAGTTGTAGGGTTCTGGGTTCTGGGTTGGCTTTACATCTGATCACACAGGCTGGCCTTGTTCAAATCCCTTAACTTTTGGGCTTTGGTTTCTTCAACCCTAACTTGAAAGGATTGGCCTACATCAGTCAGTAGGCTATGATGAATTACTAGGTTAAAACATCAGGGGCGCCTGGGTGGCCCAGCAGGTTAAGCATCCAACTCTTGATTTCGGCTCAGGTCATGATTTCACAGTGCATAGAATTGAACACCTCCTCCACACTCTCTTTCTTAAAATAAATAAACCTTTAAAAATTGGAATAGAATAGAAAACATCTTAGTGCACAGTATTATTTTTTGAGACTTTTGTTTCAGACATAAATATGGGTGGTAATTCTGGGCTGAAATGTAACACTTATTTCTTATTGTGGGTTTTAGGTGAAAACTTTTTTTAAATGTTTATTTATTTTGAGAGAAAGAGAGAGTGCGCACGTGCAAATGGGGGAGGGCCAGAGAGAGGGAGAGAAAGAATCCAAAGCAGGCTCAACACTGTCAGTGCAGAGGGGACTCAATCTCATGAATTATGAGATCACAATCTGAGCCAGTATTGAGTCTGATGCTCAACTGACTGAGCCACCCAGGTGCCCTCAGGTGAAAACTTTTAAGAGCACCGGAGAGGTAGATGAAGTTCCTTTCCAGCAACCACATTTTTGTATTTCTAGGTTAGTTATGAAATACCCCAAGGACATAATATTTTTAAACAACTTTTCTCCTCATCTGTGCACACACACACACACACACACACACACAGATTTTTCCAGGGATCTTCCTTATTTTTCATTTTGAGAAATTAAAAAGAGATGTGATCGCAAGGGTAGGAGTGGAAGGCGGAACAAACAAAGAGAAGCAAGTACTTGGCACTGAGTTTCTGGAGGACTGTGGGGTCCAGTGCACCTTTCCTCCTGTAGATACGGCAGAGGAGTGATCCACTGAGGCCAGAAGATGTGTCTTTCCAGTGCCTTCCTGCTCCTCTGCCTTCCGGGTGAGTGCGCCTTGGGGCAGGGGCATGTCTACTCCGTGGAGCTGGAGATGACGGGGAGGAAGAGAATCTACAGAGACAGATCCATATAGGAGGTGTGGAAGGCTGGGAAAATCTTCCTGGAAGATTCAAAGTTTTGTTCTACTTACTTGATTCTCCCACCTATCCTCCCTTGAGAATGGAGAAGGGAAATGTTATCCTCTGGATAATCACCCACTTGACTTTTCCTGACTTGGGGCATGACCCCTATTTGCCAGTGATTCTTCTATGTGGAGAATCATGTGTTGCCCTTGTCAGGGAGAGAAAGGGGTTGACTTAAGGCTAGTCAGCACATGGCTTCAGCCTCTCCCAGCTCTTATTGACTTTCCTCTGTGTCTCTGCTCCCACTTAACTCCTGGGGTGGAGGGGAAGCATCCTGTACCCCTCGTCCCCCCACAACCTGGGGAACACCAGATTACCCACTGTGGGGTCCTCACTCAGAAGCAGAGTGTTCCAGCTTTAGTCCTGTAACTTGAGAGAAACTCCCTCTCTCTCCCTTCTGTCCTCTGTGTTCAGATTCCAAATCCCACTCTTTGTAATGCTGTGTTAACATGAGGATTATTGAAGCCCGAACACGACATGGGATAGTCAGAGATGAGTCCTGCCAAAGGCGGCTTCGAGGATTAAACCCATTAACCCATTAACACATGTAAGAGCATGGAACAGTGCCCGCTCCTTCCTAAACTCTGAATCAATACTTGCTATTATAATGAGGACAGTGCTGGATCCTTGCTCAATTTTCTCTCACTCCCCCTCTTAACGGAGGAGAGCCAGGTTGGGCCTATAACAGAGTGAAAAATCACCCAAGAGAAATGATTCAGACTAACATCACCTCCAGAGACTCAAGAAGGTCAAAATGGCTTGGTGGGGGCTGGGGGAGGGGAGAGATGAGTGTGGAAGGAGGATTTGAGAGATGAGTATGTGTGTTGTGTGGAGGGAAGTTGATTTGCCATAGAGGAAAGATTTTTTTCTGGTCTGCTAGAAAAGCAGGAGAAAATTCATCTTGCTCACAGATCTGAGGGGAACACAGCTGCCCATGTAGGCACGTGTTTGTGCAGCTAGGCATGTTTCCTGTAGAGAGGTGAGCATGGGAGGATGTGGGGGGCACCCAGGGATGGGGAATGGTGTCTCTGTTCATCGAAGGTCACTGCAAGTTGGTGAACAGGGGCCAGGAGCTACAGGATGCACTGGATAAGGTGTGGGGGTTTGTGTTTTTCAGGCTATTTCACTCTGAGCATTCCCAGGATCTTAAAAGGCACAATGGGAGGAACATTGGTGATGGAGTGCCGGTACAATGTGGGAGAGGAGGGTCACAGGAAGTTCTGGTGCCGAGGGCCCAACTGGACAGACTGTGTCCGAGTCATTGAAACGGAACAGATGGCAGGGCAAGAGGTGAGGCGTGGCCGAATAACCCTTCGAGACAACCCCAGAGAGCACCTTTTCCATGTGATCACGGAGGACCTGGAGGAAGGAGATGCAGACACTTACTGGTGCGGGGTGGACAGGGCCACAAGTGTCCCCCAGGCCCCGGTGGCCATGACTATTTTTCCAGGTAATCCCTTCCCACACCCTTTGCCTGCATAGGTTGAGGTCATGGGTGCCCAGTCTCTCTTGCTGAGGAGTGAAAGGAGGCTCCAGCCAAGGCCCATGACTGGCTACCCAGGGGGACAGGAATGCACCTATGTGTAGGCACAGGCATCTGTAAAAGCCTGCGTCTGTGCCTACATGTAAGTGTGACTGGTGAAATAAGTCGGGTTGCATCTTGAGCCCTGGAGTCAGAAAGCTGTGTTCAAGTCTCAGCTGTGCCACTTGTGGGCTGTGTGACTTGGGCAAGTTACTTAACTGGTTTGTGCCTCAGTTTCCCCATTAGTAAAACTGGAGAACAATAGTGTTGCTGTACACTGATTGAGAGCATTAAATGAGTTGGTAGGGGTGAAGCGCTGATCACAGTGGCTGGTAGTTAGTTAGGACTTACAAGATGGTAGCCATTGGTACTATCATCCAGGCCAAACCAAAGCTGCAACACTCACATCTCCAGGTTCTGGCAGGGAAAAGTGGCTTTATTTATGGGCTTTAGGGGGTCCCTTTGTTTCTCTCCCTCAGTTATTGAAACATTATTATCTGCCTATTATGGACCTAGTCTGGCGATGTCGGGGGGAGACGGGGAAAGCAGACAGATTCAGTCTTCACAGCCCGGTGGGCTTGCAGGGAGTTGTAGATGTTGACCTTGGAGTGGAGATGAGGAAGGACAGGGACAGAGAACAGGGGAGCTTGGGAACACTGGTGGGGCAGGGGAAGCCCATCCTTTATGGACATGCAGCCACTCACTATACAGATGGTGACAGGTGCAATGTAAGTGTGTGTGGGGGCTAGTGAGATAGGGATTAAATGGTGTTTGAGTGGGGAGGGGCTACCTTGGGTACAAGACCCCCAGGAGGGCTCCCTCCCAAGGAGGTAGCACGTGAACTGGGTCATGGCCCCCCTGCCCTATGGCTCTGCTGGGGACCCCAGCCCTGGTGTCCTGCTTCTTCTTAGCCCAGCATGAACACAACTATGTATTTACAGCTCCCTCACTCGGGTCCCCACTCAGAAGGGGGCACATGAAAATCTACACCAGCATTTTTTCCATGCTTTTATTTTATGCCATATACCTGATCTGTGTGCGGGGGTGAGGGAAAGAGGGAGGGTCTGGGTCCTGCCCTCTGGAGTTTTCAGAGTCCCCACAGTGATGAGAATGTGCTGGAGCTTCACCGGAAGTCCTCTTGTGGGGTTTCTTGGAGGGCTGGCTGAGGCCCCTGAAAGACCCCTCCTTCCAGCATCCCCTGCCTGTGCCTGGGATGTCTTGGTGTGAGATGGGGCTGGGGACCCTCCCCCCCCGAGAAGTAATATGGGATTCTCCTGCCTGGTCTTGGCACCTCCCCCAAGACACTTCTCCTCTCTGTGTAACCACAGCGTCCCTTGAAGATGGGGAGATGTGCAGTGTTATGATGACTGAAGACTTTGAGCCATTGGGAGGTTGGGGCAGAGAGTGACTTGTGACCTGCTCTATAGGCTCATCGACAGTATCAATGATGACCACTGAGACATTGGCCAGCATGGGAGCCCCAGCTCTGACCAGTTACATGGCCAGCCCTGGCCTTCCTGCTTGGTAAGAAAAGCCATGTCCCTGCAGGAGGGTCCCACTATCCTGGCTTTATAGTTTCCTGGTGGGGATGCAAGCTTGGGGTTCCCCTGGCTTTGGTGTGACACCTTAGTACTTGCTGCAGGTCCCAAGGAGAGCCAGGGCCCCTTACCTGGCCTCTGCTTTGGTTCTCTGCTCTGTCTCCTTCCCCGTCTCTAAGTGTGAGGGTGTTAGTAGCCAGTGTTTGGGTTCCCATTCCAGCTCTACTTTTTATTAACAGGGTGATGACACTGGGCAAGTCACTTAACCTCTGCATGTCTCAGTTGCCCCATCTGTAAAATGAGGATGATTTGGGGCACCTGGGTGGCTTAGTTGGTTAAGTGTCTGACTTTTGACTTCGGCTCAGGTCATGATCTCACAGTTCATGAGATCGAGCCCCTTGTCAGGCTCTGCGCTGACATTGTGGAACTTGCTTGGGATTCTCTCTCTCCTTCTCTCTCCGCCCCTTCCCTGCTCTCTCTCTCTCTCTCTTAAAATAACCAAATAAACATGAAAAAAAATAAAATGAGGGTGATTCTAGCGACTATGGTTGTTCTTGTTATTTGTGGTTGTTTTATGCCAAAAACTAGTAAAAAAATATAATCATTTATGATGTTCATGGATTCTGTGAGTCAAGCATTTGGACAGGATACAACATGGAAATTTGTCTCTGCCCCAAGATGTCTGGAACCTCAGCTGGAATCCCATATGTGGCCTCTGCATGTGGTCTGGGCTTCCTTACAATATGGTGGCTGGGTCCATGAGCAAGTGTTCCAAGACAGCCAGGTGGGCCCTGTCTCCTTCTCCTGACCTATTCTCAGAAATCATGCATTGCTTCTATGTTCTGTAGTCAAAGCAATCACCAGTCCATCCAGCTTCAAAGGGATGAGAAATAGATTCCACCTCTTGATAGAGAAGAGTCAGGCTTCTGGAAGAGCATGTGGGACTAGAAATATTGCTGTGACCATTTTTGGAAAATACAACCTGCCACAAACATGATAACAGAACAGCCTTACAGAGTCCCTGTGAAGAATACATTAAGGGAATAGGGTGAAGCATGGAGCCAGGGCTCCCCACATAGTGAGCCATTCTCCCTTTTCTCTCTTCTGTCTCTCGGTCCTGGGGAACAATTTATCAGAACCAGCGTGGCAGGGGGGGCGCTGATGATGGTCCATGACTTGTGCTGGGTTCAGAGTCCAAAGGTGGGGTGCAGAGTGGCCTCTCACTAATGCACTGTAGTCACTTTGTTCTGACCCTATTTCCTCCACCAGGCCCTTCCTGTTCTTTGCCAGCTTCCTATTCCTGGTCTTGCTGAAAGTCAGCCTCTTCCTGAGCTTCAGTTATGCTGCCATTTGGTTGGCCTGGCTTCAGCGTCACCTCTGAGGATGATGGTCTGCCCAGCCCAGTGTAACTGCAGCTCACTCCCCAGTGACTCCCTGTCTGGTGACACAGTTCCTGGCCTCTCTGCTCCAAACTCAGCCTGGACCCATCCCTGGGATGTGAAGCCAGAAATGAATCAGCCCCAGCAGAGACTTTTGTGCCTGGGCATTGAGTCATCTTTGCCGGATCCTTTCCCGGGCTGGTCTGACAGCAGACACCAGGACTCCATGTGAGGACATGGGCTGTGGACTGAGATGGATGTGTGTTCAAACTTCAGTGCTTACAACATGACCCAGTAGAGGTTTTTGATGGCTCTCATCATCTGTTTCTTGGATTTGTATATCATTGAGATAATACATGGAGGACATTGGCTGTGTAGGAGCTTCCACATGGAGCTGCCATGGCAATTGCTGGTTTGGGTCCAGGGCACAGGGAGGAGGGTAAGCAGTTAAGGGACCTGGGAGGAGCAAGCCAGGCCTCCTGCGACTTCTGCTTGACTCTGGGCACAATGTGGGCAGGTGGTTAGCCCCCAGAGGTCTCACCCACATCTGTCTGTGCCAAATATGCATTCAGCAAATGGGAGAAGGGGATGAAGAATGTGGGTCTTGCTTTAAATGGCAGCTGAAAGCACCATCCCTATGTGCAGCAGGTTCTAGGAAGAGGATTTTCTTGTGACAAGCTGCAAACAGAGCTGCTTTGGGGCAGTGAGTGTCCAGGAACGAGGGGGCCTGACCTGGCTCTAGCCTGAACCCCTCCCCGCTCCTTCTCTCTCTTTGTCCCTCTGTCCTCCATCCTCAGTGGCCTCTGTCCTGAGGAGGAGTTCCTTTCTCTTTCCTTAAGGTTCAGCCCTTATGCCCAGGGTACAGAAATCACATCTTATCTGCTATTCTTTTTGATACTCCTCTCCCCTGGATTTGTGTGATCTACAGAAGAATCCCACATGCCTTCTATGCCTTCATCCAAGGTGTTGCTAAAAATACTGAACAGGTGGGGCGCCTGGGTGGCTCAGTCGGTTGAGCGTCCGACTTTGGCTCAGGTCATGATCTCCCGGTCCGTGAGTTCAAGCCCCGCGTCGGGCTCTGTGCTGACAGCTCAGAGCCTGGAGCCTCTTTCAGATTCTGTGTCTCCCTCTCTCTCTGACCCTCCCCCGTTCATGCTCTGTCTCTCTCTGTCTCAAAAATAAAATAAACGTTAAAAAAAATTAAAAAAAAAATACTGAACAGGTGACCTCCCAGGTAGAACCTTTGGTCATCTGACTGTAGGTGTCTTGGCTTCTTTCCTGCAGGATGAGGAATGTGGTAGGCACCCTGACACTGTCCTTCTAGACAGGTGTGACAACAGGCTATCAGTTGGTTACTGCCTCACTTCTAGTTGAATAAATATATCCTCACACTTTTTCATGAGTTAATTAGCAAGACAATAGGCCCTTTAACTCCTAGCACCCTAAGTAAGCGGCTTTCTCTGTACCGAAGGTCTTACAAAGAGGCCTAGTCAGAGCTAAGGGGAAATGAGTGTGGGATGAACCCACTTGCTTCTAATGAATAGGATATGGCAAATTAACAGGATGCCACTCTGCTATTTGGTTACAAAAAGACTCGGGGGTGCCTGGATGGCTCAGTCAGCTAGGCATCTGACTCTTGATTTCTGCTCAGGTCATGATCTCGCTGTTGTGAGGTTGAACCCTGCATCAGGCTCTGTGCTGGGTGTGGAGCCTGCTTGTGATTCTCTCTCTCCCTCTCCCTCTGCACCTCCCCTACTCACTCTCATGCACACACCCTCTCTCTCAAAAAAAAAAGTCTCTGGTTTCTGTCTCACTGGCTTTCACTTACTTGCTATGATGGAAGCCAGATGCCATGTTGCGAGCATGTTGGGAGGACCATATGGCAAGGAACTGAGGGGGCTTCTCACCAATATCTATAAAAGCCTTGAGTTCCATGGTCTGTGAGCAACTGAATCCTGCCAGCAACTACATGAATGAACTTAGCAACTGACCCATCCTCAGTTGAGCCTTCAGATGAGAATGTGGTCCCATTCAACACTGCAGCCTTCTGCAAACCCTGTAAACAAAGTCATGCACAATTTCTGTGGAATAGTATATATTATTGTTTTAAGCTAAGTTTTGGGGTAATTTGTTATGCAGCAGTAGGTAACTTTGATCCCATGAGTTGCCTAAGAGTAGGACCAGGAATGAAGGTTTATCTTTCTGCCTTCTCAGACTCTAGCACAGTGTTGACACACAGAACATGCACAGAAACGTTGGTTGCAGTGATGGGAAGTCACTGGTGAATCCAGGATTACCCCATCAGGGCAGGAGGCAGAGACAGGTCAATGCACATGCTCCATTTGAGGAGTGTGCAAAGAAAGGTTTAATGCAGTGTGTCTCTTTCATTCAGCTCTTACTTATCTCCAGGAATGCCCAGGGCCATGTCAGTGACTCTTGGCCAGGTTAGAGTTAGGGTTAGGGTTAGGTTTAGGTTTAATGACTTAACTCCTGGAATGCTCACATTGTCACCAATGAGTGAAATTATTCTGTAAACCCGAGACAGTGGGTCAGGATGGAGCGGGTGGTCAACATTGTTCCATGTCATCATGAAGATGCTGGTGCCTGGATTGTAGGTACTTTATCAACTCTCTTTAAGAACTCTTGCCTCAAAACGGAAGTGGGCTTCCCTGGGTGGAGACATCTCCCACATACCTTTAGTTGGCAACCAGAGAGAAGTGCCCATTCCCATGGCCCTTGCAGAGAAGCCTCCAACCCCACCTCTAGTGTTTGCTCATGGATAAGATTCCTGATACTCCTTTACTGTATCTTTTGCTTTAAGAAGCCTTTGCCATGACCATAACTTGTTAAGTTGTTTGAGTCCTTCCAGTGAATCACCAAACTAGTGGGAGATCATGAGACCCCTTGTGCAGAATGAAAAGGTGTTTAGGGGGCAAAAGAGGAGCTTGTTATTATGAAAGGAAGGGAACGGACTCTCTTCATCCCTCCCTTAACTCCATTATTTGGCAGAACAGTGGCACCCCCAAAGATGTCCCCATTGTAACCCCCAAAAGAACTTGCGAATATTTTACTTTTTATGGCAAAAAAATACTTTACAGATGTGATTAAGTTAAAGATCCTGAGATGGAGAGATTATCCTGGATTATCCAGTGGGCCCAATATTATTGTAAGGGTTCCTATGAAACAGAAGCTGGAGGGTCAGAGTCACAGAAAGAGATATGATAATGGGAGCCAAGGGTGGAGTGATGTGGGGCCATGAGCCACATGCAGGTGGAAGAAGTCAAGGAAGTGGATTCTGCCCTGGAGCTTCCGGAAGGAATGAAGCTCTGCTGACACTGTGACTTTGATCCTGCAAAACTAATTTCAGACTTCCAACCTCTAGAACTTTAAGACTGGTATACATCCCCCCTCCTCTTTGTGACACCAAAAAGGGCATCTAGGTTAAGATTTGAACTGTGGAGGGATGTAAACCTTGGTTATAGCTGGACCAGAAATCATCCCCCAAGAGGACCTGTGTGTGACCACAGTGGACAGGCATTTCCCACAGGGCAGGGCTGGAGTTGTGGAAAAGCTATAGGGTTGAAAGCAGAGGACAGCCTGGGATGGAGGGGTAACTGGCCTCCCAGGGATGGGTGCGCTCTGCCGTGTCTGGGTGGGGCCTCAGCAGGTGAGGGAACATGGTGCCATCAAACTCCCCTTGTGGCTGTGGTTTTGGGCCACTCTCTATTTCAGCAGGTCCTTCCCCTTTCCTGATAACTTTGCAGCTTAAAATGAAGAAGTAGCAGAGGAAGGAAGCAGATAACAAAATATGGACAGGAAGTGACAGTGTCCAGGGCTGGAACTCTTAGGCCAGATGTCAGACGAGAAGGATTTGGATGTTCTGGGGCCAGGGAGACAGGACCACCGGTCTATTTGTAGCTCGGCCCCCTCTCTGCCTTCAGGTGACTGGGGCTGGGACTTGTCACTTACTGAATCTTCCCTGGGAGGAGGAGGTGGAGAAAACAATGAAGGAAGTTCAGGCACACACAGGTCCCATGAGATCACCACCACCTAAGCAGATGGGCGGGAGGATATCGAGACCATGGCTATCACTGCACGGCACAGGCTGGGGTGGGGCATTTTGTCAGCTCACAGGTGTGTGTGTGTGCACTTGTGATAGCAGTTGCTAGCATGACACCAGGGTCTGTGCCTAGCACTTGACATCATTGATCTCATTTATTCCTAACAACAGTCCTTAGGAGGTGGATACCACCATCCTTATGAAGAAACTGGGGGCTACAGAGGTGCCAGGGAGGGAGAGGTGTACTCTCCTCAGCAGTGGGAGGCCAGTGGTTAAGGGGGACAACAGCCAAGCTTCCCATGAGAAACAAAGTAAGGACAAGCCAGAGGCCTGGTGTTTGGGTGTGCAGGGCCTCACAGGAGTAGACCCCAATTCTCAAGAGGCCTAGTGGAGTGGCACAACCTATCTTGGGGCCGGGGAGGGTGACTGGGGCAGCAGTAATGTGAGTGGTCAGGTGAATGAGCCACTGTAAGGCAGAATTAGCAACGACTTGGGTGTGCAGCCACCAGGCATCCAGGATCCACTGGGACGTGTGCAGGCAGCAAGTGACTGTTGATCACGCATCAGAAGGTCCCGTAGGCAGCCCCAGTTGTTGCCCTTGAGGATCCAAACAAAGGATCCTGAATTGGCCTTGAGCTGCACTGGAGAGTCTAGACAGAGGGATTTCAGTAAGATTTGAGGAATTACTTTTTTTTTTTTTTTTTTTTTACCGGACTGAACAAATCCATGCCAAACTGCTGGCCAGAATCTTCTGCATGTTGCTGTCTAGTTCTCCCAGCACCATTTGTTAGAAAGACTGTCTTTTTTCCACGGGATATTCTTTCCTGCTTGGTCAAAGATTAGTTGGCCATACATTTGTGGGGCCAATTCTGGAGTCTCTATTCTATTCCATTGGTCTATGTGTCTGTTTTTGTGCCAATACCATGCTGTCTTGATGATTACAGCTTTGTAGTAGAGGCTAAAGTCTGGGATTTGCTGGCCAGAATCAAAGGGGGAAGTTCCATCACCCAGTTTGTGAAAACTTTGCTCTGCTTAGTGAAACAGTTTCTGGTGGTAGACCCTGGCTGCAAGGATGAGACTCAATA